TTTGGGTCTAGATGGGTTGTGGGGTACCAGGTAGTGGGGGTCCCGAGAATCCCTAGGAAATATGGGAAGCTCTATAGGGAAGCATTACAGTAATCAAGTTAAGCTAAAGCAGATCTGATTTGGACCATTCCATAGTCTATGAAGTATCCTGCTATTAACGCCACAGCTCTTAAGCGAAAACTGGTGGGTGACGTCATCGCAGTTGTGGCCGCTGAGTCCAAACAACTTCTCAAGCAATACAAAACACGCGGAATTAATTGGGTCCCCGAATCCAAAACCCCTGAAGGGAATTCAGCCACATGATTGTCTGTTTTGCTGCTTGGCACAGTATGAGATGTCTCTGAATCACACCCCCGTCCGCCGATCTTAAACAAAGGTTCGCAATCCCAAACATTGGAGGTATACAGGGAAAAATGACATTCAAAACTCCACACAGACTGCATTTTCTTGTAAGAAAAAGGTGAGACGGACAGGATGTACTAAGGGGGTGTCTGGACAGTAAATCCTCTACGGGACGGGGAGGCAACATAAGCAATCATGCGGACCTCTGGGCTTCAAGCTTCCAACCGGGCAAGCTTAACTTTCCTAGTGTTAGTTCCCAAGGTCTCACAATTAAGTAGGACCGAATCTTTAATAACTGGTTGCAAGGGAATTCTGAGGTTTTTAGAAGGTTTGTCCTATTTCGAGGTCCTTGGGGATTCACCTGATTTCCGCCCTTAATTTACATCTAGTACAGGTTTGAAGGGCGAGACGCGCCAGGGAACAAAAACCCAGACCTTGGCCTCGTTGAGTCCGCATTACTTGTGCTTCTGATCACACACATTGCGCCCCAAAGCAGGATGTAATCAATGCAACCCTATACTCCATATCGGGAACTATAAGCCTCTATTAAAAAACAATTCACGCATATGCAATTGGCATCGGAAATCCCCAAGACTTTCGCTGTCTGTACAAACACGCAAACAGAGTGAACAACTGCACACCGACCAACCAACGCTCAATGCTCACGTATGTCACGATTTTCTCGCCGCAAGGGTATAACTCGTTCGCAGCGCCCCATCAGAATGGCTCACACGGCAGCCAGATCAGCATACTGAGGAATGTGGGCCGCTCTTGCACCAGCCACAGACTCTACACGCTCACGTACTAAAGAAAGTAACGGGCCTAACTCATTAGAATGTGAATAATGCTCGTGATGATCATTTAGCCCATTACACCCTATCCCGCATCGCAGGGCATCAGAAGGTCCTCAACTTCTTTGCTGACGGCTCGGGCGGCGATGATGCACCAAGAAGCTTCATCACGGCTGGGTGCAGCTTGCGCTGCTTAACCTTACGGTAGATGGAGGAAATCTTGCACCACCGAGGACCACGCCCCATATAATTCCTAGGCTATGTACGGTGTAGCGGGCGGCGCAAGATTTCCTCCATCCGTAATATTATGGAAACTTCCAGAAGTTAGGGACCGTCGTTGAAGGCATCCAGAATATTAGGGTCTATATTGGGGCCCCCTCTTTATGGAAACCTTCGAAAGGGAGTATGCAATGCTGTGGAGAAAATATGGGAACGGCTTACTAAATTTTGACAGCTGAGTCCATAGGTCATCATCCCACTGACTGCCAAGTAACCAAAGCTTTGACGGCTTTGTTTGTCCCGGCGAATTTGATGCACGCCTTCTGCAAGCCGTCTAGGCCCTTCAATACAGCGCACTCCGCAATTTCGGCAAAACTAGAACCAGTAATCATGTCTTCAAGCATGTCTTCAAAAATGATGACGACGCTGAGCACCTCCCATCGATGAGAAATGTCTAAGGCACCAAGAACAGTTTTGTAGTCGAGTTCGCTAGCCGTCGCGCTCATGTACACCATATCCAAGAATAGCGACACGGCAGCGGCCGACGAATCTTCGACTTGAATGCGCTTGCTGGTTCCCTCTGTCATGCTGGACTCAAGCATGGCTGCCAGTACGGGAGAGGCCACCATGAGCACAACATCATGTGCTGTCACAGGCCCATCCGCAGTGTCGAACGTCACGTTGTGGGTTGCAACTTTGTTCCGGATGCCCTCCCATCGCTGCAGGGCTGCTTCATCGATCACAACCTTTTTCCGTTTTGCTGTTGTGAAACCAGACAAGACATGTAGTATCTGCTGAAGGTAACTAGTACGGATGCAGTCTTCATGCCCCTGTTTCATCTCGAGAAGCGCAAGTACCATGGAAACTGCAGACTGTTGTCCTTCGATCTTTACCCCGTTGCTTTCAACTGCCCGAGGAAACGTGACCTCTGTCATAGGGTCAGCCCCTTGCTTAACCATCCATTCAACAATGCTGACGTAGCGTGGCCTGTCAGCAAGTGCCACCAATCCTGCAGCGATAGTGGCGTGAAGTAGCTTTCCTGCGACTTCAGTTCCCCAATCAAAACTTGCCGGGACGAACTTCTGCAGCCCGGCTAGATCTCCCATTTTCGCAAGCCCTTTCGCGATCTTGGACACCCTCTCCAGCTCACTCGCCATCAGCGTCAATGGCAAGGGTGGGACTACTCTCCGTGTAGCGCGTAGAAAGCTAACATGGAGGGAAATAGTTTATCATCCCGAGACTCATGCGATAGTTTCGGATGTCAGGGGGAATCGCTAACTTCTGATGCCGGAAAACTTAACCATGGTTGCTCCTATGTCTTTCTGCTCAAGTGGCGGCCGAAACGGACAAATATGCCGCAAAAGTCAAGTATGGAGAACTCACGAAAAGTACCGGTTGGATGCTGGGAATATACGGTTGTTCTGCAATGCGAGTGCTCTAGTGGTCTGAGTTGTAGGCACATTCACTTTAACCTTCTGGGTACCTACCCAGATCTCTGGATGGATGCTTGTACCTCACGAATCTGAGCCACCTTGTGCGAAGCATGGGTGTCTTCCTGAAATCACTACTTGGTGCCCGCTAGGTGATGAAGACGCGCATCCCCTGTCCTGGGGTAGGTTTGGGAGCTATAAAACTTATGGGGTATACAGGGATTCAGGATATCAAAGCAAACTAAGAATGTGTTCAAACCTACCCCCTGTAATGTGGTGGATGGAGAAAATCTTGCACCACCCCAGATTCCTGAGTTACAATATGAGCCATAGTCTCAGATCCCAGAATCCCCCGTGATAACCCCTGCCTATTACAATGCCCTATATGATCCCCTGTCTAACCCCCCTTTATGGAATCTAGATCCTAAACCCAAAGCCTTAAACCCTATATGTCCCCGTATGACCCTATATAGCCCCTGTATAACCCCCCTAAACCCTAAACCCTAAGCTCATATGAGCTATAGTCTAAACTCCTAGTATCCCCCCTAATATACCCTATAATATTCCCCTATATAGTCCCCTATATATCCCCCTTTAAGGAGTTTAGAGAATGGCTCATATATCGCGATCTCCTCCATCCACCCTAGTTCTAATAACTCATCACCTGCTTCCCCAAAGACAAGTTGAGTTTCCCAAAGTAGGGCTACCTTTTCATGGGTTCCCCACAATGAGGACTATGTTCTGTTGGGGTCTATATTGGGATTTCACTATTCTGGGAAACTACCCAATGATTACTAATAGAAACGCCTAAACACAACAACCTCCACCCTAAACTTACTGGTGCCCAGCGGGGGGGTGGATCCGGTGTAATGATCAGTACAGAAAACTTGTAATTGTCCCCCAATCCCTCTTCAGCGCGAGTAAATAAAAATGAGCTGTCAGCCTTGAAACATTAGTACTAAACTGTCTACCCCAACATCGTGCATCCCACTACCCCGCCAACACAGCAACCTCCCCATTGTACTGAGCTTACTCATGGTAGGCTGGGTAGCGGGATACGATTAAGGCCTAGCTGGACTCTCCAACATAGTTCCTTCTAGGTTTTGGTGACTCTTTGGTTAGAGAGTTCTTATTACCCTGAACAACAAACTGCATGGCAAGGGCTAGGCACTGTTGACGGAGGAAATCTTGCGCCACCCTAAGTCCAAACTTCTGTTGGTAAACCCAACCCCCAGAATATGGACCCTATACCAATCATATGATAGTCATAGAGTCCTTTTGGGGGTTGGAGTTACCAATTGTTTTAAAGATTTCCTCGATCAACCCTACTCTCTCAGTCCCATGTCTGGAAGATCTTGGTGCAAATACTTACTCCACAGAACACCCCTCATGTATATAATCTCACCAATACCTCAGCCCCTAGTTCTGAATAGGGTTATACGCATGTGATGCTCCCACCATAGCCAGGTATATTGCTGAATCCGAAAAACTTGTCATTAGGGGATTATCAGTGGGTGTCGTGTGAACATGGGGCCATGCTCTGTATGCCCTACTTGGAGGCCCATGGGACTTAGTCACTACTTAAAACTGGACTTATAACCCTGCTTATAATCCCCCTAAATGGGCCTATAGGTGTTGACCCAATTACAAGTAGAGTTATAACCCCTTTTATTTATCAGTAGTTACTAAGTCCCACGGGCCTCCAAGTAAGCACCCCACCAGCATCATCCCTACATGGGAAACCGTAAGACCCTAGCATCACCCAAAGCCCAAACAGTGGACACTAAAACACCTGCTTGCCCTCAAAAAGCCTACTTCTGCTTTTGGAAGTATGGTATTGTAGTATACCAAGGTCCTGATGCATTTGCTGTATCAAGCGTGCATACCAAACTATGCAGGACATTTCGCTGAGGCGCCCCTGAAGCGGCACTCGACTTGGCACCCGGGTCAGGAGCGCCTTGCTCCAATGACATCCTCAGCTTGGGCGATCATAACATAATGGAAGACGCACCTACATCCGAATTAGAGTCCCCTAGCGCCCTCATGTGGCTATAAGTGTGGTAAGGTGCCAGCTACAGGCCATCAGTACTCGGAACCTCCACCTGGGGATTTAAGGCTTACGGTGCTCTCGGCGTAAAGGGTTTGTCATGCGGAATAAACAGCTGAGAGTTTTTTTAAAAAAAGTGCAGGCACCCACTCCCCATGATAATTGCTGATACCCCATAGCTTCCGAGATCATATTCCGACAGAACTTCTGTTCATAGTTTCCCCACTTGGACACCAAGTCTATATAGACCCGACAACAACACCAGGCGTTATGTTTGCAGGGTCAGGCGGCCTTAGCAAGTCGCAGCTTAAGCCAGAAAGAATTGTCCCAGTTATGCTCAATACTGACCTACTTATGCACATTAGTCCCCCTGATCCGTAGATCCTGGAGTATGAAAGAGGTAGCATAATAGAAGCCATCTACATGTCACCCTAAACCCTCAACCCTACGGTAAGGTCGGTAGTCATCAGGATGGAAGTTCCCATATAACTTACTTGGAGGTTCATGGGATTTAGTAAGCACATAAATCTGAGCTTAAACCCTGCTTGTATTTTAATCTATATAACTGGATTGACTTAGGCTCAACCAGTTCTAAGTGGGATTATAGCCGCAGTTTTGAGTAGTTACTGCACCCCATGAACCTCCAATTAGGAGTGGCATGAAAGGCTGGTAGGAGGCTACCCACCTTTTAAGCTTTCCACATACAAGGTATTTCAACATTAGGGGACAGGACTCTGAATGCTAGGGGCTTCAGGTCAAAATCACGGGACTTTGGGCTTAATGTAGACCCATGATTAATAAACCTCCTCCCCTTAATAGGGATAATAATAAGGATCCTAATATTAAGGCCCTTAAAAGGAGGGGGTTTATTAATCATGGGTCTACATTAATCGAAGGCAGGGCTTAAGGTTGAGAAGCAAAGTTGAACTGAAGACTCTGAAACCTGAAACGCCTAAACCCCAGCCTACAAGCCCTAAACGAGCTTCGAGTCACAAGGAGTAAGGGGGGGTTTAGGGTTTAGGGTTTAGGGTTGGGTAAATTTTTGTCAAAATTACAGATGTGGAAGCTTTACAGGGTCTGCACGTGCGTCATCCGTCCCCCTGCTCAACAACACTGTTTAAGGTTTAGGGTTGGGCGTCTAGGGTTTAGGAGGTAGGGTTTAGGGTTCAGGAATTAGGGTTTAGTAGGTAAGGTTTAGGGTTTAAGGTCTAGGGTCAAGGGTCTAGGTTTGGGGGCCCGTGCATATCGAATCTTGCCTATGAGCGCTGTTACATGTTGAAAGATGCATGCTGCAGAAAGGGGGCAGGGGATGTTCAGGAGGTGATGCGTGCTTGCATCGCTGTCATATTCTTTTGCAATATTCTATTTTCCTTGGAATAGAGATCACCTCCCCCTACACACCAAGTGCAAGGAAGTGCAAGGGATCCTGGGCATAGCCAAATCATTAAAGAAGTATGAGGCTGCAACTCAGGTGCGATAAGATAAGAACCAATGTCTTGTGGTAGCCTATATGGGACTTCTTAAAATGAGAGGTACCTTTTTTTGGGTGTTCCCATAATAAGGATTACAAGATTTTGGGGTCTATATTGGGGTCCCATTGTTTTGGGAAAAGACCATATAATTCAGCCGTTTGGCTAGGGGAAATGATGAGTCAAGGGAGTGTAACTACTCAGGGCCTCGGCTCGAGAACTTAGGCGCACCTTAAAGTAACTTGGAACCCCAACAGCTCTATTTGGGTAGTTCCCAAAATTAGGGTCCCATTTTGGTACCCTATATATGAGGTGCCGTAATATAATCTATAACCGAAATGGGCCCATGATTTTGGGAACTACCCATTTGAAGAGACAGTAATGCTTATAGTCACTTCTGGCGGGTTCCATGCTAGTTTGTTGGAGAGTAACAAGGCTTGGTGTAGACACACTTGGATTCAGACTACGTCTAGGGTTCACAGGTTTAGGGCTTAAATTGGGGTTCATCCAACAATCTCAGCTGTACTTAACGCAGAGTCTAAATCCTCTCCCCTCCAAGTCAGCCACAACACCAGAACCCATACAAAAATCCTAATCCCCTCAGACAGCCTCCCCACCCCGGGCAATGATCTAAGGAATCCCTTCACCACATTCTCGTTAATGCCAAGTACCCTGAAATATACAATGTCTCATGCAAGTTTACATCAAAGGTTGGCGGGTGCTTAATTTCGGTATTTTTCCACAATTTAAGAATTACTTCTGACAATCCCTCAGGGAGCCTCTCACACAGCTGTTCTTTTGGCAGGGGCTCTATGGGTCCATGTCAGTTGGGCAACGCGTATTGGGGCTTAGTTTATTTCCTTACAATAGAACCCCAAGAATGGAACCCCTCA